CTCCTAGAACAAGCCATTTGTAGTGCTTAGATTCCACCACTAATCCATGCTTTTCTTATGTTTTATATTAGCTAATCCTTCCCTCGAACTTCTCCTTGTGACAGTTCTCACTCCTTTGCCAGGTACGCGTGCATATCTATGGGATGCGGAGGCAACGGCCAAGTCTTATTCCGCCAGAGAAAGCAAACCTGACCACCCGAGCAGCAGTCACACGAATCGGCCTCAGAAACATGTAAGGGGAACCACCAGTGTCCTCAGGCCTCAGGACAGCAGCAATACACATGCAGAGTTGCTTCCTTTTAATTCTCTTTGCTATTATAAAGGCAGTAATTACTTCAGAATGACACAGGAGGCAAAAATAGTTACAGCTAAAAATGCAATGGGTGAAAAGCTTTCATCGCTTAGATATTTAGTTATGGACCACCTAGAAACACACATTTCCGTGACAACAAATACCACAGTATCTTATAAACTACCTTAGGACAACAAAAACTGATCTAAAAAAACAACTCATAAAAAATCACACACACACACACACACACACACACACTCTCTCTCTCTCTCTCTCTCTCTCTCTCTCTCTCCCATGCACCCTTCATCCTAGTACAAACACATCACACTGCAGCCCGCAGGCCCCACACCTTGTCTATTTGGCTGGCGTGGGCCTTTGAGTTTGACATCTTGTCCGAGAGTAAACTATTTTCAAATGGAGGCCGTTTAAAACAGAACAAGGGTAGAATTAGACCATGGAGGGGGTCAACCGAGACGGTGGCAGGAGGCTCCTGGGCTCCCCTCCTCCCACGGACACTAAATGTACCACTACACACGCAGCATCACTAGCGTCACCGCTGAGAGGAACCCAGAAAGGAGAGGACAGAAAGGGGTGCGTCCTAACAGGTGGGCAAGGTCACCTCCAGCAACAGATCTGGTAACACCCCTTAAAAACGGTCCTCGTTTCCTTCTTTTTATCAACAGACACAAAGCCTTCAAAACTCACAAAGCACTTGTACCCCAATTAATCACTTTTAAGACTTAAAGGAACCACTTTAAGAAGAAAAATAATTAGGTGATTATAATCAACTAGAGGCCCAGTGCACAAAATTCGTCCACTGGAGGGGGGTGGGTGGGAGTCCCTCAGCCCGGCCTGCGCCCTCTCATAATCCAGGACCCTCGGGGGATGTCCGCCAGCCAGAGACCCCTCGCTCCTTACCGCTTGGCTCGCTGCTCCTTAGCACTGCCACGGAGGTGGGGGAGGCTCCCACCATCGCTGCTGCACTTGCCAGCCATGAGCCCAGCTTCAGGCTGAGTGGTGCTCCCGCTGTGGGAGCACACTGACCAGCAGGGGGCAGCTCCTGCATTGAGCATCTGCCCCTTGGTGGTCAGTGCACGTCATAGCGTCCATTTGTTCTGCCATTTGGTCAATTTGCATATTAGGCTTTTATTATATAGGATAATCAGATTATACTCAATCGTGTCATTAGCTTAGTTTCTTAATCCTTCAACACCAGGGGAAATGTAAACATACTTTAATCTGAAAAGAGAGTTCCCACTTGCGTGTAGTAACTCAGGCACTTACCTCCCTAACGGCACTCCTGGCCTTGTACGCAGTAGCGTAGGGCTGTTCCAAGAGCCACAGTGATGTCAGAATGGCAGCCACAGAGGTTCTCACCCGGAGGACAGGCCGGGCCTGGGCTGGCGCCGGGAGGCTGGGGTCGCAGGGCAGCCTGCAGGCGGCCCACCGCAGCATCCACTCCAGCAGCCCCCGCAGCCCCATGCCGCCCGCTGCACCCAGCGCAGGAGGGAGCTCGGCCAGGGGGTCCGTGTCACTGCCCCCGATCGCTCTGAACATGCACCTTCCCCTGCGACTGCCCTCAGGAGCCCACGGACTCCGGCTCGACACCCTCAGGACGCAAGGCTTCTCTGCCCCGTCCCCCTGTGTCCTGTAGAGTGCCTTCTGCTTTAGGCCGAACAAGCCGCTCCTCCCCCCACTTTCATTAAAATCACTGGGGGGGTTCTCTGGAGGAGGCCTGGTCCCGGCGGCCAGCCCTGGGGCTGGAGGCACCGGGCCTTCGGGGTCCTCAGGCTGCAGGGCGACCGCGAAGCAGGAGCCCGCTCGGAACACGCCCTGGCCCCTGGCTTGGCCCGGGCGGTGCAATGCTGGGTGCAGGCCCGAGAGCAGAGGGTTGAGTTCCTGTTCTCTAAGGTGCCCCGAGAAGCTCGTCAGCAACGGGAGGCCCGGGTCCTCGCTACCACGCAGGTCTCGCTCCAGGACGTAACTCAGGAAGAGGTCCAGGAACTTCACGTACTCGTCGTCATCGCGTTCAAACTCCCAGACGCCGATCACAGGAGGTGCGATCTGCAGCACCGGTGCCTGCCCTCTTCCCGTAGGGCCTCCTTTCGGCTCCGCCATGCTCCTGTCAGCACCGGGCTCAGCAGTCGGCGTGGATTCCACGTGACGTGGAGCCTTTCTACAGCCAAACAAAATCAGAAAAGACAACATTAGTCACTTAATCAGTAAATCTCATGTTAGAATTGGCAATAAAGAGCCTGTCCACTAAGTCATATTTTTTTTTTAATGCTTCAATTATCTCTCTCTCAAATGAGGGGGTTGGACTAAACGATCTCTAAGTGCTCGCTAGAGCTGAACATTCTGAATCTAAAAAACCAGCCCTGACCGGTGGCTGTCAGTTATAGCGTCTGTCCACCAAAGGCTGCAGGTTCAATTCCAAGTCAAGGCACATACCCAGGCTGTGGGTCTGATCCCAGTCAGGCGGTGTACTGGAGACAACCAATCTGTCCCTCTCTCTCCCCCCCCTTTCTCTCTCTCTCTCTAAAAAAATTAATAAACATACCTTTGGGTGAGGATAAAAATAAATAAAATTTTAAAAATAAAAAATACCACACATTAATATAAAAGGAAAAATTTGTGTTAAGATATATTCACAGAGCCCTGGCCGGCTTGGCTCAGTGGATAGAGCATCAGCCTGTGGACTGAAGGGTCCCAGGTTCCATTCCGGCCGGGGCACATGCCTGGGTTGCAGGTTTGATCCCCAGTAGGGGGTATGCAGGAGGCAGCTGATCAATGATTCTCTCTCACCATTGATGTTTCTATCTCTCTTTCCTTCTCTCTTCCTTTCTGAAATCAATAAAGATATATATATATAGATAGATAGATAGATATAGATATATTCACAGAAAGTTTCCTATTAGAAAACATCAATATTTTTCTGGGAGGAAAAATAAATCCTCTAACACAGCGGTCGCCAAACCTTCGGACCTCACGGACCATCAGTGGTCCCTGGACCACCGGCTGGCGACCGCTGCTCTGAAAGGTCAGAGCACAGAGACAATAAGTCACACGGCACTGACACACCCGCTAGCCTGCACTGCTTCTCGCACCTGCCTGTCTGCTCCCGCAGGCACATGTGCTCGAGCAGGCGGGGTTGCGCAGGACCCCTTCCCACACAGAAGGAGGGACTTGTAAACACGCTCTGCTGCTACTGAACCTGCTGGGCAGGCACCTGCACTGCCAACCTGCTCTCTCTCAACATGGTCCTTGGGGCAGAACACAGACCCCGAGTTCCATGAACGAGAAGTCAGAGTTCATGCTGGGCCGGGGCAGAGCGCCAGGTCTGCGTCTCTGCCTATTGAACAGGCACAGCAAGCGGCCTCCGGGGTCAACCAGCACACCCGCACAATTCGGTGTGAGCCCATGTTTGGAGTAGAGGGATGACTTCAGGTAAGCAAGGGTGTGCTCAGCTATATACTCTTCCAGGTGTGAAAAGGATAAACCACATTTCAGATACCAGAATTATAAAGAAAAAAAAATCTGCCCGGCCTGTGTGGCTCAGTGATTGAGTGTAGACCTGTGAACCAGGAGGTCATGGTTCAATTCCTGGTCAGGGCACATGCCCGGGTTGTGGGCTCAATCCTCAGTGTGGGGCGTGCAGGAGGCAGCCCATCAATGATTCTCTCTCATCAATGATATTTCTCTCTCTCTCTCTCTCTCTCTCTCTCTCTCTCTCCCTTCCTCTCTAAAATCAATAAAAACGTATTTAAAGGAAAAAGTCTGCTTAAATAAGAGTGCAGAGGTTTAAATGATAAGCAAGAATCTCTCAACAATTTAGGGGCAAGTTTCAAAAATGAAATGTGCAATTTCCTTCCCTTGAAACTAAAAAAAAAATAAGTTAGCTAATCCCCAAACCCTGAACTATTTAAGTCTGGAGATTACTAAAAGAACTAAATTCTTCCAGTGAACTCCAGCATTCAACCTACTCATTTGATTTTACACTTTCTGGTGACAAATTATTTCCTGTCTCAGTAACAGTTTTACTGGCTTTTCAAAGCCACAGTCTCATCTGCTTTCCCAGCGTCCTGTGAGGAGGGAGGGTAGTGCTCATTCCCATGAACAGGCCAAGCAGTGAGGTCGCTGGGGCTGGAACCCAGCCCCTCAGTTGCATGAAAATATTGAGACACTTTTTCCAAAGGAAGGGACCGCCTGCTATTGAGAGCGCTCAGCTGTACCTGCGATAGCAATGCGTCCCACTCCTTCCTCCGGCCGACCGAGCCTCCGAGAGCGAGTCGGCCTCGCTGTGGCCCGGGGGCGTGCCCAGGTCTGTGAGTGTGCTCCTGCTCAGGCTCGTCCCCAGGGAGCACCCCTCGAACCCGGGACCTTCAGCGGGCTTGTCCTCCTCCACGGGCTCCCAGACGTGCCTCTCGAAGGGACCTATGTTTCTCTGCACGCGTGTGAGGGCCTTCACCCTCACTTTGTGGATGGAACGCATGACAACAGACATCGCTTCCTCGGTGTGGGGGCCTGGGAGGAAAGAAGGCAAGGCTTCCGTTCGTTAAAAGGCCTCAGCTCGCCCTGGCCGGTTTGGCTCAGTGCATAGACTGTCGGCCTGCGGACTGAAAGGTCCCAGGTTCAATTCCGGTCAAGGGCATGTACCTGGGTTGCAGGCACATCCCTAGTGGGGGGTGTGCAGGAGGCAGCCGATCGATGTTTCTAGGTCTCTATCCCTCTCCCTTCCTCTCTGTAAAATATCAATAAAATATATATATTTTTTAAAAAGGTTCCAGCTCGAGAAGGGGCCTGACTCTGGTTCCTCCTGAGGACACAAAGCCCTCCGACAAGTAAGGCCCATGCCCCTCCAGATCGGGCCTCCATCAGGACTCGTCAGGCCACAGTCCACACTCCCTGCGGAAGCCGGAGAAGGCCCCTAAGAGTATAAGGGACAGGACCCTGGCCCGGCCGGCGTGGCTCAGTGGTTGAGCATCAACCCAGGAACCAGGAGGACACGGTTCGATTCCTGGTCAGGGCACATGCCTGGGTTGCCAATTGGATCTCCAGTGTGGGGCGTGCAGGAGGCAGCCAATCAATGACTCTCTTTCATCATTGATGTTTCTATCCGTCTCACTTTCCCTCCCTCCCTCTCTCTGAAATCAATAAAAACATATATATTTTTTTAAAGTGGACCCTGGAAAACAAAAATTACAAAGTAACTTAACCACCTTAGACATCAGAACCATAACTAAAAAAGAAACACTAACACTTTTTCTATCCCCACAGAACAGTAAATAAGCGAAAATGAGTATAATCTTAGCCAAAGAACAAGGAGACGTTCTGACTTCAACTAATGGGAAACAATGGAAGGGAAGTGGCCTGAGGCTGCCTATAAGAGAGTTTAAACATTAATACCTAAAAAGACATTTCAGGTTTTAGAGAATGCCAAAAACATCTTTAGAAAAATAGAAATCAGGCCCTAGCTGCTTTAGCTCAGTGGATAGAGCGTCGGCCTGCGGACTGAAGGGTCCCAGGTTCGATTCTGGCCAAGGGCACATGCCCGGGCTGCGGGCTCCATCCCCAGGAGCATGTGTGCAGGAGGCAGCTGATTGATGATTCCCTCTCATCATTGATGTTTCTCTCTCTCTCCCTCTTCCTTCCTCTTTGAACAAAAATATATTTTTAAAAAATAGAAATCTAAGTGCAATATAAGGATATGAATGCAGTCATGTGCAATCACAGGACATAACTAGACCTAAATACTAGATTAGCTCTAAACATGTGGGTAATTTGAATTCTTTTAACATTTCCACATCATGGTCAAGGCACTTAATGCCACTGAACTCTACACTTAAAATGGCAAACTTCATATTATGTATGTTTACCACAATAAAAAAATAATTTCCACAAGATCATCTTGAATGTGTAGGATAAAACTAGAAGCATAAATAACCATAAAGGGAAAGAATACTAGTTTTCCGTAAAATATCCACATTATGAAAAGCAGTATATGCTCATTTTATAGAATTTATCTTATTTAATCCTCTTTCAATACACATTCTTAGGCCCGGATTAAGATAGTCATTTCACAAATATGGAAATGAGGCTTGGAGAGACTGAGCCCTTGCCTGGTCACACGTCAGTTACTAAGTGACAGAGCCACATGGGACCCGGCTCCTGTCTGCTCCCCGGGGATCTGGTGCTGCTGCGCAGGGGAAGGGCCCGCCTGCTCACCCCGTGGAGGGGGGAGGGGAAGGGAGGGGAGGGGAGGGGAGGGGAGCTGGAGGACCAGTGCTTTCCAGACAGATGGGGTCCCCAGCAGCCTGCCCAGCAGATAAGGAGAAACGACCGACAGTACCTTTCACGACACAGTGGCCGAGTCTTTGCCGGAGCGAGTAATACTTTTCTCTTAAAGGAACCCTGATGTCCTCAGGATTGGGAAATGCTTTCACAAACATGTCTGCTACCTTCAGAAAAATTAAAAAGTGAGCTTTATGAACAACATCATCCTTAATTAAAAGAAAAAAATCCCTTAGAGTTTCTGATTCTGACTTAGTTACGGTTCACCTACTTTCACATTACCTTCCTGATCGGCGGCAGCTCTCCAATAAGGCTCAAAATGAGGTCCTGAATCAGTTCTTCAATGTTAGAAAACCGAGAGAAGGGCAGCATTCGGCAAGCCCACTCCACCGCACAGAGACAGTGCTCAACCGCGCAGGAGTCAAACTCCACTGCCAGGTCCTACACGGACATTGAAAAAAGTCAATCCTTTTCCCTCTAGATGGGCAGGCCAGAATACATTCAAAAGAAAATGTGCTCCAAACAGTAAAACCTATCAAGCAACAGTTTTGCAAGTAATGCCTGTTCGTTTTTCTTACTCTTTTGCCAGGTAAGTACCTTCTTTCCCTCCATGTTTTCTCTCGCTTTCTGATACTGCCTGCAACTGGAGGATAACTTATCGCGGACATGCAGCATCCAGCACAACGCACACAGCTCTCGGAAGCACCCTAAGTCAGGAACACAAACAGGAGAGGTCGTATGAGGACGGACACTGATTAACAACGTCAACTCTCTCTGCTTGTTTTTTTTTCCCCACAAAATACATGTATTTTCTTTTTCTTTTTTAAAAATATATACTTTATTGATTTCTTACAGAGAGGAAGGAAGAGGGATAGAGAGTTAGAAACATCCATGAGAGAGAAACATCCATCAGCCATCTCCTGCACACTCCCTACTGAGTATGTGCCTGCAACCAAGGTACATGCCCTTGACCGGAATTGAACTTGGGACCCTTGAGTCCGCAGGCTGACACTCTATCCATTGAGCCAAACCAGTTAGGACTAAATGTATTTTCTTGATTATAAAAGAAACATATACTCATCATCAACACCTTAAATAGAGTCACAGAAAACCTTCCAGAATTTTTATGCATATTATTAGTCTGGAATAGTTCATGCAGGTCGGTTGCATGAAAACATTAAAAACACCGTTAAAGATTGGGGGTTAATGGGGGGGGATGAGGACACATTTGTAATACCTTAACTAATAAAAAAATAAAAATAAAAATAAAAACACTGTTAAAGAATAAATAACTTACTCTATTACTGGTAGTTACTTGCTTTAAGCTCAATAGTATATGGTAGATACTATTTAAGCCAATGCATTCATCTGTACTTAATGCTATATAGTTAATTTGTTTGGAAAATCACTTATAGATAGGCATTTAAGTTTAAAATTTTTCTGTACTAAAACATAATTTCCAATATCAATTAATATTCTTTATTAAAACCAGTACAGCCCTGCCGGTTTGGGTCAGTGGATGGGATGTCAGCCTGCGGACTGATGAGTCGCAGGTTAGATTCTGGTCAAGGGCACATGTCTGGGTTGCGGACTCAGGTTGTGGGCTCGATCCCCAGCAGAGCCCATGCAGGAGGCATCCAACCAATGATTCTCTCTCATCATTGATGCTTCCAATTCTTGTTCCTTAGGAAATCAAGTGTAAAGTAGGTCATTTATTAATAGCCTAAGCCAGCAGTTCCTTTGGGACAAACCTATTGCTTTAATGGAAACCTCATCCAGCTTGTTGTCTCCCGTTGCTCCAGGTCGGAAGAAGGCTACGCCGCCCACACAGTAGTGAAGCAACGACGGAGGGAAGGGACTCAGGGACGGGAGGGAGCCTTTCATTCGAATCTGAAAGTGAAGAAGGACAGGATGTGTTAACTGTCAGCTGCATAAATCAACGTCTAAGGAAACTATAAAGCAACAGGCAGCAGGTAAAGATGAACCATAGAGAATGGAAAACACAGCAGGCTTCCTGTACTACCCAAGAAAAGCGTCCTGAAATCAGCCATACTTTCAGAAACTTAGCTCACATATTTTCTTCAAAAAGTTCACTTGGCTCAATCTCAAAAGAGAACAAAAGGTTTAATCAAATCATCCTTTTGTCACTCAGTTATGTCCTCACAAAAAGAATTTAATGCTTTTGTCCTTTCTCCAAAGGCATGATAAAGAAATTAAAGTATCTAACTTTCACCTAAAATAAAACTATGTGTATGCCCAGTTGGCATGGCTCAGTGGTTGAGCCTCGACCCGTGTACCAGGAGGTCACGGTTTGATTCCAATTAGGGCGCATGCCCAGGTTGTGTGCTCAGACCTCGGTGGGAGATGTGCAAGAGGCAGCCAATCGATGATTCCCTCTCATTTCTGATGTTTCTCTCTTTCTCCCTCTCCCATCCTCTCTGAAATCAATAAAAATATATTTAAAAAATAAAACTATGTGTAGTACCTAAAAACAAATACAGAATAAGGTAGAGCTACATACATAACTTTTGAAAAACTAATCCATAAATGACAGAATTAGAAAGTCACCATTTGGCAACCCCGAATAAAATAAGACTTCTAGCAAGGATCATCAGTAAATGCTAAATTTAGTGAAAAGTTGATGACTGATGGATAACGTGACAGTGGGTGGGTCATGACACAAACTCACTGGCCCACCTCACAATAACTGAAAGCAGTTACGGTGACAAGACTAAGGAGCACTGCCCTGACCGGTTTGGCTCAGTGGATAGAGCATTGGCTTGCAGACTCAAGGGTCCCGGGTTCGATTCCCACCAGTGCATGACTCTGTGCACCGGGCCTCTAGTACAGACATAAGAAACAAACAGCATGACTACACTTCCATGCATTTTATTGTTTCCAAACAAGTAAGTATCAAACAGAGACTTTTCCAACTTTTAAGACTCTTCAAAGATAAATTGATAAAGTAGTAAAAAGACAGAATGTTAGCTTTATTTTACATTAAATATGTTCTGTAATCTCTGTGTCTGTATGGTTGCCAGAGGAGAGGTGTTAGGAGCTGAATGAAAAAGATGAAGGGATTAAGAAATTGGTAGTTACAAAATAGTCATGGGGATGTAAAGTCCAGCATAGGGAAATCTATACATATAAAAGCCTAAGTGACCAGCCAGTAGCTATGATGTACAATGACCACCAGGGGGAAGACGCTCAACACACAGGCATGGAAACATGGAACAGCCTGATGAATCTCAGAGGGAAGAGGGGAAGGGGAAGGGTGTGAAGAGATTAACCAAAGATCTTATATGCATACTACAGGCCTGCAGGGATCGGGCCAAAACCGGCAGTCCAACATCCCCGAGGGGTCTCAGATTGCGAGAGGGTGCAGGCCAACCTGAAGGACCCCACTCGTGTACAAACCCATGCACCGGGTCTCTAGTATTGTAATAACAGCATATGGTGCCAAGTGGGCTCTGGAAATAGCAGAACATTTTGTCAAGTATATGATTATCTAACAACTATGCTGTACATCTGAAACTAATACAAAATAATGTTGAATGTAAACTGTAATTAAAAAACATTTTATTGAAAAAATGAAATACCGAAAGCACACACACACACACACACACATGCAATTCTCACATACATACACATGGGGAAAAAACAGACTGTGGAGAAAGATTAAACACTATCCAAGAAATGCTGCTAACTGTTAAAATCTGGTGATAAGTTCAGTCTGAACTGTACTATTCTTTTTACTTTTATATTTTTAAGTTTTCATAACAGAGTTTTATAAAAAACCGTTCCACATTTTCCTAATTTATTTTTATGTTATCAGAAAAATAACTATTCTGTATAGTTTTTTTTATAAACATTTTTAACAGCTTTATATCTACAGAAAAACTGAAGTGACAGCACAGAGGGTTTCCACACAGGTTCCCCATTATCAACAGCTTATATCATTACAGTGCACTTGTTATCATTAATGAGCGAATACTTTGATACATTAACTAAAGACCGTACTTTATTCAGATTTCCATAGTTTTTAGTAAACATACAAAAAACATCCACACCTTTGGGATGACGAAATAGAGGATGAGTACACACCTTTCTCTCTAAAAAGTAACTAATTTTCAAGAACAACTTGATAAACCACTTCTCGGAGCCTACAGGGTCTGTCCTCACAGAGGAGGAGGTGCGGATGCTTGTTTGTAATGTGATCAAGGGCCAAATGAAAAGTACTGGGGGCTAATAAATTGATGTCCACATCCACAGAGAGAGACTGCAGCCTACGAAGGACCTGCAGCAGGACAGGGGCCTCCGGGCAGACGTCCCCTCCAGCTCAGGTCAGGCAAGAAGGCAGCTACCGCCGGCTGCAGCCAGGGCAGGAGACCACAGCCCAGGGAGCTGCCCGTTTCAGCTGCCGGCAGGGGCACTGGCTGGTGGGACCTCTGAGAGGAGACACAGAGCAAGGAGCAACCTCACTGTCTGTGATTCCACCCACAGAGCATCTGCAATACCTCGGGGAGACGTCGGAGAGAACCATGAACTGAGTTTAAATCCCCAATGACTGGGGTGGGGGGCAGGGAATATAACTGAAATTAACTGACTATATTATACTTTCTTATATCTATATCTATATCTATATATACCTATATCTATATATCTATATCTATAGCTATATCTATAAATATATAGCTATAGATATATATTTTATTTATTCCTTTAATTTTTATATAGCTATTGGTGTGCCTTTTTCAATCAAAACATTTAAGGTATGATCATTTTATGAATGAGAAAATGAGTGAAAATACTTTTTTAAAAAATATATTTCTATTGATTTCAGAGAGGAAGGGAGAGGGAGAAAGAGAGCAAAACATCAGTGATGAGAGAGAATCACTGATCAGCTGCCTCCTGCACACCCCGGACTGGGGATCGAGCCTGCAACCTGGGCATGTGCCCTGACCGGGAATCGATCCGCAACCTCCTGGTTCATAGGTTGATGCTCAACCACTGAACACACTGGCCGGGCCAGGGACCCAGCAGAGTCCGCATCGTTCAGCAGAAAGAACTTGGTCTGTGGTAAGTCTGACTAGGGACTGACAGGCAGGACTCCATGGACACACGTCCAGTCACCAATCCTAAGAAAGGTCGGCCTGTTTCCGCGGCTCACAGCACGCACAGGAGACCCGCCTACCTTCTGCATGACCTTCCTGGCCCACCTCAGCTGCAGGAGGTACCACTGCGCGGCCGGGAAGGAGCAGCGCGCCGCCCGGAGGAGCAGGAGCAGGCGCTGCAGGATCCCGGACACCTTCTGGCGGTTCTCCTTCTCAGCTCGTAACAGAAGATCGTCACCGTCCTCCTGAGGAAACGCAGCAGTCACATTCTGTGGCCGGCAGTAGGAAAGCTTTTAATGTTAACATGCAAGCAAAGACAGTGCTTCGGGACCCAGACCGCTCCTGGAGGTTTATAAAGAAAATGCCGGGTCCTGGCCTGAGATTTCAACCAGAGAGATGGCTAGCGTCCGGGAAACACTTCTCTCCCCTCAAAAAACGGAAAGGGCTAAATCAGTGGTTCTCAACCTTCTGGCCCTTTAAATACAGTTCCTCATGCTGTGACCCAACCATAACATTATTTTCGTTGCTACTGCATAACTGTCATGTTGCTACTGTTATGAATCATAATGTAAACATCTGATAGGCAGGATGGTCTTAGGCGACCCCTGTGAAAGGGTCGTTCGACCGCCAAAGGGGTCGCGACCCACCGGTTGAGAACCGCTGGGCTAAATGGACCCTAATCCCAGATCATCCCGACAACAGGCGAAGGCCACCACTCCGGCCCCATCGGCAGAACCCTGCCGAGAGCTCCTCTCCCCGCGAAGCCAGGCCTCTGACGGGGGAGTCCTTCTCCTACCTCGTGTCACCTCCTCTAGGAGACCTCCCTCTGAGCTGCGTGGCACTCTGCTCAGACCTCCGCTGTATCCCTACTAACTTATTCTGTACTGATTTACCACGTTTCCCACTGGGCTGAGAACTAGGCAAGAGCAAAGACCTTGCCACATGCCTTGGTTCACACAATGAAGTCCAACATGTAGTAGGAGGAGCCAACCAATGTTTGTTGAAAAACACTTTTCCAGTTCATAGCTAGTGATTAATTCCCCAGAAAATGAGATGATGTGTTGCAAACATCTGCTTCCCCAATACCCTAACCATTGCTGCTTATTTAACTGCACTCAGTTTTAACTGGGCATCTCCCCCAGCCCTGCATTTGTTGATGCTTACTATGTCCAAGGGCCTATGGTTAGAAATAAAATAAGAATTTACATTTAAAAAATATATATTTTTACTGATTTTTAGAGAGAGACAGGAAGAAGGAGAGATAGAAACATTGATAAGGGAGAAACATCGATCAATTGCCTCCCTCACGCCCCTTACCAAAGATCGAGCCCACAACTTCAGGCATGTGCCCTGACTGGGAATTGAGCCCGTGACCTCTTGTTGCAGGGGCCAAGCTCAACTACTGAGCCACACCAGCCAGGCAAAAGCTTTGACATTTAACCCCCACAATAATGCCACTGGAAGTCTTATCATCATGGCATTTTACACATGAGGAGCCTTAAGCAGCTACGCACACTGCATAAAGTTACACAATTAATAAACAGCAAAGCTGGGATCCAGAAGTCTGCCTGCAGAGCTTGCATTTTTATTCTCAAGTTAATTGTTTTTAAAATTGGACAGAATCAACTTTAAGTTAAAAGGTTGGCTTACTTCGCTGAGAAGAGCCGGCTGAGGACAGTACAGCGGAGGAGCGGGGAGGTACAGGCCGCCGGGCACCAGACCCCAGAGCCTCCGGCTGAAGTCCTTGGCGGAGCCCATCAGAAGCCGCCAGGTCTCGGAGAGCACGTCCGCCTCGGCCATGGCCGCGGCCTTCAGCACGCCCCGCACGGAGCCCAGCAGCAGGTGCGCGTCCTCCTCTTCGATGGGATCTGCACACGCGTCAGGCGACACAGTCAGAGTCTGTACTACACTGCACATCCTGCTTTGCAGGATCACAGCTCGCATCGGAAAAAAGCTGGTCATCGAAAACAAGCATATTGGTTGACATGCAAAACATCCAACCTTCCAGACAGAAATGTAATGACTATTCTGTTACTTTAAGGTTATAGGCAATCATAGCACAGGCAATTTTCCAAAGTTAGACATTGCAGTAGTAAGTTATGTATAATAAAAATAGTTTTGAAGTATAATTCTGAGTCAAAAAAAAGAAATAATATTAGAGCAAAAAATATCAAGAAAGACAGCCAAATAAAATACATTATGTG